ATACAGACCAGCTGTGTAGGGACCGGGATATTGTCGATGTATAAACATTAACTCCCATCTTAGATATGGATCTTTGCAAATCTTTTAAAGTCACTATTGGTTTTACAGTATCATCCCTAACCAGTTTCCTGCTTGGTCGGCTGCTTAGTTTGGAAGGGCAGCCTGATCTGGGTAATGACTGGGTGGTATGAAGCGCATTTCACATTTTAATGATGGATTTCACCATACTCAAAGGAATAATCAGCGATTTTGAAATTTTCTAGTAATCTTCTCCTGATTTGTGCTTCTCTACCACTTTATCCCTGACTTGTTTGGAAAGCTCCTTGGTCTTCATGGTTGGTTTGTGGTATCACTATGTGAGTTGTGGCTTAAAGAGATGCATTTACTCTGAAGTCAAGTTAAACCACTTTGATTACACACAGATATATACCATTACACCAATTTTATGACCTTTCAAACTAATATTTTACACCTGAACTGATTTAGGGTTGCCATAGCAAAGGGGTTAAATACTCATACAATTGAGAATATTCTAATTTTCTTTGAAAATCTAATTTACTTACATAATATCAGCAGTATTTTTGCTTTCTCAGTTTGGAGTAGATTGTGTAGATTCTAAATATAAAGACCTGTTTGAAAGTTTCATGATTGGAAGCTCAGACAGCAACAAAATGAGGAAACTTCGGGGGGGGGGGTGAATACTTTCGCAACTCACTATTGTTGGTAAGAGTAGTCCAAGAGTTGGCGGTGGGTGGTGATAACTAGCTGCCTTCCCTCTAGTCTTTCACTCCTAAATTAGGAACGTGTAGCACAGACAGCTCTTGTGTACGCGAAATTCAAAACAAACCAATCTTAAGGTGAAAGTAACCAGTCAACAACACCTACCGTCAACTCTCGGGCTACTCTGGTCTATCATTCTTATAGTGCACCCACGGCCCAAAAGTGCGGCGGCCTTGTAATTTACATTTGGGCACTGTAACCACAAGGCCACGCCAGATGCCTGATGCTTTGCATAAACTATGATTCTTGAAAATCGAGTTAGCTAAGATCGCGTGAACCTCCCTCATCCCTTAAGTTATTCAGTAGGACCTGAAAAGTGATGTCAAGACCAGCTTAAATCTTTAGTTCTCTGTTGTTTCTCAACAATTCGAGATATCCATTTTGTTTTATTCAAAATATATGGAACAAGTATGTAAACTACAGTTTCCTTTCACCTTTCTAAAATTAGAGATCGTTTAGAAAAATGTTTTGTTTTTGGTGACTTTTCTTTCATAAAGAATGCTAACTAACTACTCGTTAATCTAAAATATAAAACTATATCAATTCTGTTGATCCAATGAGCTGGCTTTGTTCGATCGAGAGATTAACCAGTAACTAGATGATCAATTATTATTTATACAGTGTGCCAGAAGGTGGCAGCATCTTATCGTTTACATACGTCATATTTAAATCCTTTACAAATTAGCTATATCACTATAGAAGCAAATGTCAGTAGTTATTTTTCGAGCTTTCTTGCTTTAGTTTTTTTTCTAATCAAAATGATAATAACTAATATTGCAGAAATAGATTTCGACCATTGATATTGTTTGATATAAACATATAAATACCACGATGATTGATATTATTTTTATATAAAAAAATAATCAATCGTTTTGCGTACAATTAGTCGAATTTGATGCGAAGAAAATGAATCGTGGTAACTATACATTTTCTAAATGTTATCGTAGTGTCCTTCGCTAAGCCTATTAGTTCTTAGACTTAGACCTAAAAAGCAGTTTAAAGGTTATCGTATATCTGAATATCGTGATTAGGACGAAACATTTCGGTGTCCGTTATATGAAATTAGTATTGACGTAATATTAAGCTTTACAGTTATAAATTTAAGATAATTTAAAATAATAATTGTCAAACACACCCACGTGACTAAGAAAGAACGTTAGTTTGTGTTACATCAGTCGTGTTATGAATGACGTGAATTTTTGATTAAGAGCTTTTATTAAGCTCAAACTAGTATAGTTATGAATATAACTAAGTTTAAAAAACATTTCATAATTATTATATATAAGGTGAACAATGGTGAAACATTTTTTTTTTAATTTAACTTTTTATTTTGAAATTCTGGCTTTCTCCTATCTATTAAGGGTTCTTTGGATATTAGAGAAAATCTCTCCAATTGTCAAATTAGAACTGCTGGTAACGGAATTCTTGGCTCATTAAATATTTAAATGTTTATTGATATTCTTTGCAATTCTGCTTGATTATACTTAACGTTAATCTGATAGTCATTTTTACAATCTTGGCCAAAATGTTTGCACACTCTTCAATATTGATGTTATTGTCTACATGCAAGGAATAGTTATTGAGTAACTGCCCGAGTAGTAGCAGAAAAGTTAGCGTATGATCAGACAAACCTGCACGAGTTGTTATTCTGGTCTATGTAAAATGTTTTGAGGATTTGTTTGTCAAAATACACGTGCACGCCTGTTTTAAATAAAAAGGTGTGCTTTTGGTATAATAATTTTCGAAACAGATCAACGCATTGTTGAGACAATATCTCTGTACTTGGTATAGAGTTATGCACGTGCCAGAAGTTATAGAGCGTCAAATTGTTCGACTGTACAGAAATGGTATGAAGCAAACGGACATTGCCAGAACAGTAGGGTGCCCCCAGCGTACTGTATTCAAAAACCTGAAACGTCATCGGACTAGAAGAAACATTGTTTCAAGAAAGTTTACTGGTAAACGTCGAAAAAACTACTGCCGTAGATAACGTTTTATGATCAAGTTAACACGACAAGGTCGAAAGAAGTCTTGCAACACTTTACGACAGGAATGGAATGAATCAACACATTTATTCCAGGGCATCCAGAAGAACAGTGAATAGGAGACTGACCAAACAAGACTATTTTGCAAGAAGGGCTATCTGCAAACTAATATTAACCAGAATTCACCACCGTCACCGTGTTACATGGGCAAGACATAATGCCAACTTACAATTAGGACACTGGCGACATGTCATCTTTTCATACGAGTCCTGTTTCCGTCGTCTTAATGCTTATGGTAGGATTTGTGTTCGTCGTTTGCCTGGAGAACAGATGAGGGAGGACTGTCCTCAGGAGTTGTAACGTCGAAACATGTAGAGTTGTCAACTTTTTGAACCCCTAAATAAAATGTTTTTAATTGTGTACCAGTTTAACGTTCAATATTATTTACGATTTTAATACATTTCTCAGTTTTACAGCACTAAGCGTTTTTGTATTCCATCTTAATAATAATTGTCTTATTTATTACAAAATATGCAAACAGTTTGGCCAAGACTATATTTACGTGTATATTTAGCCAGTACTAATTAAATGTATATTTAAGGATTTGGTTTATATCATTAAGATTGTTATTGTAATGAATCCGATAAATGTTTATATTGAAACATTTAATTTATAATTATACTGAGAAAATATTGGTAAAGAGAATTCTGTCTGCAACCACGAAATTTATTCAATTTAGTTATTTCAACTGACAAATGTTATTTGGAGAGTATGGAATATCTTGAAAATTATTAAGAAATCACAAATACCTAAAATTTGAAAAAGAAAACCTCGATGATAGTTTTACTTATTACCACTAGATGGTACTACAGTAACATAGTGTAATTATAGTATGACTGCTGTGGAATCTTGTGAAAAGTATTATACGCAGAATTCGCTTACAGATGCGACAAATCAATTATCGTTGAAAGGGTGGGGTAAAAAAATCCAGTTTCCACTCGAGAGACAGTAGCAAAATGACTCCCAGATGATTGTCATACCTTGAAAAATATATATAATAATATCTCGTGAATGTCCAAGATGAGATTCACTGTTTACCATTAAAAGATGAATTAATGATTTCTTAAATATGATGAAAACGTATAAAATGTTAAAGTTGAATGTACAAGAAGTTTAAATATTTTTCATGTCAGTGATAATGCGATCACAGAAAACATTTTAATATATTGAGTTTACTCGGTATAATTATAACTATTTTTATTTTTGATCATCTGGAAGATGCTAATAAGTTGATTATAGACTGGAAAGCTAATATTAGAAGAAAGCAACTGTCTCTACCACAACTTTATTTCGTTGGTTATAAATATCAATACACAGACAGCTAGCGGCATCTAGTGCTAGAAAGTTGTAGCTTTAAAAATAGGTTCACTTGTTGTTTTGGGTACATTTTAGAGAATAACTTTAATAAATTGTTCCATTTATTTTTTAAGTATTTTCGATTTTGCATTGTCTTCTGTCTTTGGTGGATTCTCGTAATAACTCGCATCAGTATGATTATAATAATAACACACATCATTGTGCATCAATGACAACGATTAATGTGTTTACGTTCTTTATCAGCAAGACTAGAATAATTGTATAGTATTATATAACTACTATCATTTTAAAACATTATTAGCACTTCAACAGAAAAATGGAACATGATTAAAGTTACTGACAAGAGAGCATTTTTTATTATTTATTACACGATGTGTTATGGTATATTTCCCACTACGTTAAATAATAATTGGAAGGTAACTAACTTGATTAACAAGAGACTTTATAAACTTCTGTAACATGACATTTGTTTCAATAGAAGCAAGAAGAAACTCCGCTGGAAAACAAACACAGCATTTAAATGTTCTGTTTATCCACCTACACATTTTGTACACGAATCACATAAGTTAATGAATAGTTTGTAGAATGCTTTTCCTTATTATTTGAGGTCTTCAAGTACAATATAATAGCTCACTAATGAAAACCACTGAAAAAACAGTAACAAAAAAACACTTCTGCTTCAATTGGCCATCTTGATTTTTTACCACTGTTTTACGCGACCAAATCGTTATGAGATAATGAGAAACATTCACTCGGTTAATTCTGGATGTTTAACAACAGTTATAATAACCTTCTACCCGGGGTTGTTTCACCGGTACTTTACATGTTGAATAGTTCTTCATTAAACTGCCACGTGGGTCATGCAACCTGCACCATGTTCATATGCAGAGAGGGCTTAGAACACAAACAGTACATCATCCCACATCCGGGACACACAGCGGCCGACGATACAGGAGTTATGAAAGTTGCTGCAAGATTGTAAACAAATAAAATACATTATTGGAAATTTTGTCCCAAACTTTTTTCGTGATATTTTCAATTTGTAGTTTACTCGGTATGGTTAGAAATTAATTTATAACTAAAATTCAGTCTTAAAGGTTACACTAAAAAACAAACTGCAAACGGGTGTCAGTAGAGTTTTAGATTATTATAATTTAATTATTTGCCGCTCATAATCAAAGAACTGGTTTTCAAAATATTCAAAACTGCGACCAAATGTCAGTAGATTATCATTCAGTGCCCTGGAATAATAAAATGAGCAATCTTTTTGTAGCGTTGACACTGGTGACATCAACCTGCAATACAATACAAATTCCAAACGAAGCAGACACGGACCCATTTGTATCTGGCAGCTTTTCCATGTTCATTAAGGCTCATGTTCAGTAGAGTGACGTATATCAGAGATATGGAAGTATTGTGGATATTTCGGACAATACCACTGGTTTTAGAGATGCACATAATTATATGCCAAGACACTGTAATTTAACAACTGATCACTTGGAATCCAAAACCATCAAATATTTGTTCCTAAAACATTATCCATACTAAGGATGAAGTAAACATTTTCACTGATTTGTTTGCTTGTTTGTTTTGAATTTCGCACAAAGCTACACAAGAGCTATCTGCGCTAGCCGTCCCTAATTTAGCAGTGTAAGACTAGAGGGAAGGCAGCTAGTCATCACCACCCACCGTCAACTCTTGGGCTACTCTTTTACTAACGAATAGTGGGGTTGACCGTTACATTATAACGCCCCCACGGCTGAAAGGGCGAGCATGTTTGGTGTGACGGGGATTCGAACCCGCGACCCTCAGATTACGAGTCGAGTGTCCTAACCACCTGGCCATGCCGCGCCCTTAACTGATTTTTAAAATGATCAATCGTTTAGTCTTGGGTTAACAACTAACCAATTAGACTTTCTATTTTAGCTTATTAGTATCCGTTAACAACCTTAACGTATTTGATATTTTCTTTTGAATATGTCACGGGTAAAATTTAAAGACATGCATAAAATATTCTTATGGTTTTTATTTCTTAAAAAAAAACACAGAAAATATTTATATCATCCTCTTAGGGATATGACATAGAGTAAACTGTAATATGCTAAAATCAAAGGAAAGTTAACTAAATATATGTCAAGAGAGAGAGCACTCATTTATGGTATTATAAGACCATTTTGATCCTGTTTATTGAAAATAATTTAACTTACCATCAAAAGGAATATCTTTCTCTAAGGTACAGAATGTGTAATGATAAAAAAACCTGATTTTGAAAACATAGTTTTGATATTCTGGCCTTAGTCTCTTAGAACATAAAAGTATTTAGAAGAGAAAGGAGGAGATATGTGAATAATAATAAGAAGAAGAAAGCAGTGCTACATACAACTATATTTTAACTTAATTTATAAGGTGTGGGAAGAGAGAGAGAATAGATATGAAGTACATATCTAAAACATTCTTCAGTTTGGTCTATGAATTATTAGGATATCGAGAGAGGGGGGGAGGTATGTGAATAAAGAGATGAAGACAAAAATTAAAAACTCACAACCATTTTTTTTAGCCTGATTTGTGAGGTACTTTTTCTGTCTAGCTCTTGAGTTTTGAAACCACACTTGGGTAACTCTTTTACTGAGTCCTGTAATTTGAGCGATCCGTTCAAGGTCTTGTCCATCAGGGTTAGAATCTAGGTTGAAATTGGCTTGTAAAACTTGGAGTTGCTCTTCAGTAAAAGTTGTCCTAACCCTTTTTGTCTTCGATTTTTGATGATACTCCTGGTAGCCGCTTTCTAGAAGAAACGTGAGAATAAGCTTAGGGGGTGGTCTTTTAAGTTTTACAAATTAATTCAGAAAAACAAATAAGTTGTTGATGTTATAATTTTTTTAAAAATTAAACTTCACATTTCGCCGTATGTTGGCAGTTTTCTAAGACATTTTTCATAATTAAGCGTTTGTAGTAACAAATTGTTTCGTATAAAATTCCAACTAATGTTACTTAGGAGAGTTTCCACAAGTCATAAATTCCGAAAAGTCATTTAAATATAAAAATAATTAAATAAACTTACAATTTCAGGTTAATTCTACATTATCAAGGTTGTCTGAAGAGATCGTGAAACGTCTTATTTGTGAAGAACTTATAAAATGAGATTGAAATCTTGCAAGCAGAATTATTATAGAATTATCCTGTAATGTAATATTACTGTGCTGTCATTACTTTAATCGCTTTCGTTATATATTAGACATAAATCTTACAATAATAAATGTTTCTTGTCTCAAAGGAAGTTAAAATTTCCATGATGCTGTTGTACACAGGGTAATGATTGAAAGGAAGCAATGTTTCTTGGTTTCTGAGCCATTGAATAGTAATGTCCGGCAGAATGTATGAACTACATTTTATGACTGTTACTTGATCATTGACATTTAGGACAGTCGCTGATATAAAGTATCATAAAATGAAATTAAGTAGGATTCCTAGCTTTCCAAGCTATCGAGATATGAGGTATGTACTATATTATAGAATTATCATTGGATTATCGGCAATCAGGATAATCATGTAATCCTTAACTTTACAGACCACTGGGTGAATTTTCTGATGTTTCAAGAAATCACTTCTAAAACCTAATTGATTGGCGATAACTCTGTGAAGCATGTACTTGCTAGATTGTTCACTGACGTTCCTGGGAACATGTCTGATCTACAGCGTAGATAATCGACTGTGGCCCTGTCTGTATAAGTGTGTACACTATGTTTTATTTTGCTTTATTTAAAACTTGTCCAGTCTCATTATTTCACACACTAGAACATTCAGTCAAGTTTTCAAATACAGGCTACTTCATATTTCCTGGTCCATCCTACTGTTGTTAGCGAATTCATCTGATAATTGCGCAAAAATAAGTTTCATAGTATTAAGAAAAAGTCATTATAGCCGAGGTTTTGTATTGGTCACGTAATTCCTTATATAATGCTTCAGCTGAGCGAGTATCAACACTATATTTGTAATCAAAACTGTCATTTGTGAATATACAGCTGTATTTATTCATCTGTTAACTTTTATTCCTTGGTGTTTAAATTCGCCATGTTTGTTTCTATTTGTCGACTTGCTTTGTGCAACGTGTGTAGAATGTTCTTACTTTCAACAAAACCGGTACTTTCTAATAAACATGGCCTGGCTTTGTACTTGTTCAGTAAAGGATACTACAGAGATATTAAATGCAATATAATAGTTAAGCGGCTCTAAGATGTTATATTGTTCAATGTAATAGATTGGTTATGAGTAAGTTCGCTTTTAGTCAGTGGAAAGGTATGAGAAGGGTGTTAGAGAGTAACTGAAGCTGAAATAGCATTTCTACAGCTCGGAACTGGACGTTGAATCATTGGCTATTGTAATGTACAGACGTTTCTCTGGACAGCTGTTTCTCTCTAGACAAACTTGCATCATAGGCTTAAAAGCAAATTTTAAACAAAAAAAGTGTTTTGGGAATTTTGTTCTTCAATCATTTACTAGCTTGTTTTTCATATCTTCAAATTCTGCGTGTTTAAAGTTTTATTAGTGTTAGTATAATTTAAGAAACCCGATTGTTAGCGTGTATGCTAAAAAAACGAAAAGGTTAACTTGATTTGATTCAAAGTTTTAGTTAAAAAATACGACACACCGCTCTGATGTTGAGTTAACTTAGTACAAAAAGGAGGTGAGTAATATATCAAAAAGAGTAAACCGAGATAATATTTTTCACCTTAGTTGACCTTTTATTGCATTACTTGTATCGTGGATTCCCTAAGAACATCACGTCTAGTTCACCAACCGTTAGTCGAGTCGTGATGTCTAGTTCACCAACCGTTAGTCGTGATGTCTAGTTCACCAACCGTTAGTGGTGATGTCTAGTTCATCAACTGTTAGTCGTGATGTCTAGTTCACCAACCGTTAGTCGTGATGTCTAGTTACCAACCGTTAGTCGTGATGTCTAGTTCACCAACCGTTAGTCGTGATGTCTAGTTCATCAACCGTTAGTCGTGATGTCTAGTTCACCAACCGTTAGTCGTGATGTCTAGTTTACCAACCGTTAGTCGTGATGTCTAGTTTACCAACCGTTAGTCGTGATGTCTAGTTCATCAACTGTTAGTCGTGATGTCTAGTTTACCAACCGTTAGTC